TGACATGGCAAGAGGACTGGCGAGATGGTAGCTGGAGGAAGGCACGCAGACATTCTGTGGCGGTAGCACAGGACTGAAAAAGGAGGACAGCAATCTAGCAGTGGTAGTAAAACAACAACAGCAATAATAAATAGTTTTTATATAGCAGTTTGAAGTTTGCTAATGATGAATATGGATACATATATGTGTAGTATGTGAAATATAAATATGTGATATATGTGTATGTACTTCATATGTGTATATTTATTTCATATGTATATATGTATATATATATATATATATATACACACACATATGAAATCACATTTGATAATCACAGCAACACTGGGAGCAAGTGAATGCTATTATCATCTACATTCTACAAATAAGGAAACTGAGGCTGACGGAGGTTAAGTGATTTGTCCAGGGCCGCATAGCTAGCAAATGACCAAGGAAGCATTTTAAACTCAGGTTTTTCTGGATCAATGAATACTATCCACTACACTAATCTAGATTTGGGGGATTAGAAGAAAGGTAAGGACAAGATTGGTAAAAGATTTCAGGGTAGATAGCAGAGTAAAGTAGAACTGGCCAACTATAAGGTTGAGCTTTTGGAAGGAGAAAAGTGAGACTAGAATGAGGTCTGATGGCCTAGAAAAATGCGGGGAGAGGTGGAGAGACTGGATGTTGCAGTGAGAATTAAGAATATGTCTAGGAGGAGTAAGACTTAGGAGGTTATAGATTGTGGAAGGAGAATACTTGGGAGTAATGATGAGATCAAGAGCATGAGCATCTCTGTATGGGACTGAGTGGGAGTGTAGGTAAATATCAGAGGAGTTTAGACTGATGAACTGGAAAGCAAATGTATTGAAGGCAGAGGTTCTTAATCTTGGGTCTATGAATCTTTTTTAAAACTATTTTGATAATTGTATTTCAATTTCTTTGTATTCCTGTGCCCAGGGTCACACAGCTAGTAAGTGTCTGAGACTGGATTTGAACTTAGGGCTTCCTGACTTCAGGCCGAACACTCTATCCACTGTGCCACTTAGAAGGGGTGGGTATCATTATTTATTAGGTATACAGTCATATCAAGAAGGCCAGGAATCAAAAGCCTTTAAGAGCAATGGAGGCAGGAAAAATGATGTTGTCATCTGAATATATTATTAATATATATTTTGTTTTATGCATATAAAACATATCTTAAGAAGCATTCTGGCTTTATCATACTACCCAAAGGATTCCATGACACACAAAAAAGTTTAAGAACCCTTGATTTAAGGGGACAGCAATAAATACATTGAATTCTCAAAGTATAAGGGCAGGGAGTAGGCTAAGAGAGAGATTATGAGCTGAGTACTCAAAGTGTATTCCTTTACTGAATTTTATTGCCTCCAGGAGCAAACACAAAATCCTCTGTTTGGCTTTCAAAGCTCTTCATAAAGTAACGCTTTCCCTTCTACATACACCTTTCCAGTCTTCAAATACCCTCCTTGATTGCTTAATCAAGTTTGTTCAGAGGACTGTTCTAGTTGCTATGTAAATACATGGTAGACGTTAAATAAATGTTTGTTGAATTTAATTTAGAAATTAGGAAACTGAGGCACAAAATATTTCGCAGTCAAAATTGAAAAATCCTAATCAGTCTCTGGCAATTTAACACCCCCCCTCCACATTTATAAATCATGTGCAAACACAGTCCTCATTTGTTCAGCTGGCAACTATTTAAAATAATGAGGAAGATAAGGAGGAAAGTGGGTTTCCTTTTAAGCCTTGCAACAAACATAAATGCCATTTAATAATAACCTGCTGCAGGTCCTTCTATGTTCTTACTTCCCGGGTTCTAAAAGTTACCGTAGCCATTGAAGCCTTCTAGACCATCCTGTGAGTATAGATGGACAACTCGGCAGTGGCATATCTATTCTGTAATATAGACAAGGTGCCATGACGCCTAGGTCAAATTCTCAGTCCTCACTATCTGATTGTCTGACAGTTGTCATTGACTCTTCCCTTCCCTTCACCCTTCGTATGCAATCATCTGCCAAACTTTCCCATCTCCATGTTCCCTCTCCCCCACCCCATTTTTTACCATTCATATAATCTACATTCTAGTTTGGATTCTTAGCCTCCCAGCTTATCTCCAGGCCTCAGGTCCCTTCTTTCTCCCATCTAATCTCCACATTACTGCCCTCAGGCCATGATATCATGAGACCACATGGAGATCCATGTGAGGTCTGCTTTCACTGGGATTGTTGTTGTTTGTCCTTGAAGAGAAAGAAGGAGATTCAGAATTGTACTTTGGGGAATTATCTCATCATTCGCATTCCATGTGAAGATTACTGCCATGACTGTGAATGAATCCTCGAAGCACAGCTCTGACCACATCACTCCCTTCAGTGACTCCCTTCTAACTTTAGGACAAAGTATAACTCCCATGCATGTCATTGATCTGGAAGAGACTTCAGCAGATAGAGATTGGATCTGGAGTCAGAAAGATCTGAGCTCGACTCTGACCTCAGACATTTACTAGCTGTTTGAACCTGGACAAATCTGCCTCAGTTTTTTCCTCTGTAAAATGGGGATGAGAATAGCATCTACCTCTCAGGGTTGTTGCCAAGATAAAATGAGACAATACTTGTAAAGTTCTTTGCAAACCTTAAAACACTATATAAATACTAATTATGATTATGATTTTTATTGCTATTATCATTATTATTATTATTGTTTACACATTTGACAGGTAAGGAAACTAAAGCCCAGAAAGACAAATGAAATCCTTTCACACTCTAGCTCTATCCTATCCTCATATTATTCCCCCTCACACAATCTATGTTTGAGTCAGACTGGCTTACTTTCTGTTCCTTTTAGACCACATTCCTTCTGTCACCTTTGTGTCTCTGTATAGGGTATCTCCCTCCTGATTTCTAACTCTTGGACTGTCCAGTTCCTTCTAAGGCTCTGGTTAGGCTTCATCACTTACATAAGGACTTTTCCTGATTACTCACATTGTTAACATTCAGTCTCCTCACACACATACCAATTACTTTGGATTTATTTATCTGTATATCCCCACAGGCCAATGTAGACTATGATCTTTATATCCATAGTGCCTAGCACAGTGTCTGGCTTATTTAATAAATATTCCTTCAGTCTGTCAATCAGTCAATAAAAATTTATTAAGCTCTTACTCTGTACTAGGTAATGTGCTGAGCTCTGGAGATATAAAAAGAGGTAAAAAAAAAAAAGACAGTCCCTGCCCTCAAGGAACTCACAATCCAATGGGGGAGACAATATATAAACAAGTATACACAGGGTAACAAGCTATATAAAGGATAAATAGGAAATAATTAAAAGAGGGAAGGCACTAGAATTAAAAAGGGTTGGGGAATACTTCTAGTAAAAGATGGTATTTCAGTTGGGACTTAAAGGAAGCCAGGGAGGTAAGTAGGTAGGGCAGAGGAGAGAAAGCATTTCTCCCCAAGACGGCGCACAATCTGATATAGGCTATACATTTACATTCATATTAAACATATTTTCACATTAGTGATGTAAGTAGAAGGAACTATCAGAAAGAGGAAACAAGGCCTCTGGAGATGTCTTAGATCCTTGTATTGCCAGAAAGGGTTAAGTTTATCAATATTAGTCATCACACAACATGGCTGTTATTGTGTACAACGTTCTCTTGGTTCTGCTCACTTCACTCAGCATCAGACCATACAAGTTTTTCCAGGTTTTTCTGAAGTCAGCCTGTTCATCATTTCTTATAGCACAATAGTATTCCATTACATTCAGATACCACAACTTGCTCAGCCATTCCCAATTGATGGATATCCTCTCAATTTCCAATTCTTTGCCACCACAAAAAGAGCTGCTATGAGTATTTTTGTACATGTAGGTCCTTTTCCCATTTGTGTGATCTCTTTGGAATATAGCCCTAGAAGTGCTATTGCTGGGTCAAAGGGTATGCACATTTTTATAGCCCTTTGGGCATAGTTCCAAATTAGAGCCAGATAATATTCCTGGAGCTGAGAGATGGAGTGTCTTGTTTGTGTAAGAGCCCAAGGCCAGTGTCATGGATCAAAGAGTGCATGTTGTGGAGTAAGGTATAAGAAGACTTGTCTTTAAGATCTTTGTCCTTATGGAATTTGCAGTTTAGTAGCTTACACAACATGAATATGAATAGCAGTAAAACATAATTGGTGCCCATCAATTGGGAAATGGCTGAACAAGTTGTGGTATATGATTGTGATGGAATATTACTGTGCTATAAAAAATGAGGAGCTTGATGATTTTAGAAAAAACGGGAAAACATGCACAAAATAACAAAGAGCAATATAAGCAGAACCAAGAGAACATTGTACACAACGATATTGTTTTAAGAACGACTTTGAACAAATAAGTTATTTTGAATTTTATAAATACCCAAATTAAGTATAAAGGACATATGGAGAAGGATGCTATCTGCATCCAGAGAAAGAAATGATAAATAGAAGTATGCACAGAATAATTTTACATAATATGTATATATGTGTGTGTATATATATGTGTGTGCATATATGTATATATAAATAGCCCTATTTGTATCTAATGGTAGCCATCTAACATTCTTCAGGGAAGAAAAAAAGAAATTTACATGATAATTTTGTTGTATGTTTGAAAACAATAGCAAGTTGTGCATAGTAGATTTGCAGTTTCATGTACAATCATCTTTTTTATTGTACTATGTTATGGAAATGCTTGTTTTATTCCATAAATTAAAAATAAAATTTAATAATAAAACATAATAGAACATAGTGTGCATGTGAGAGAATAATTGTGCTGCCTTCTAAAAGTGTTCGGTTGGTTATTTTACATAAGTTTTATAACTTTTAACCATCACTAAAACTTCTGGCTACTAAATGTATCACAGTGTCCCAACTATGGTTGACATTGATGATTAATTAGCAGTGATGACATGCTTGTGTGATTCTATCATGTCATTAGGGGAGCTGCATAAATCTGACTTTGTTGCATTTATTTTCTAGGACAGACTTCTGTGTACATAAAGACGAACCATGTGACACTGTGGGTGAGTTACAAAATTAGAACAATAATTTGAAGCTAATTTTGTACTGGGAATCAGCAATGATGTCTTAATAGCTTCCATAGTTTATGCACAGCTGATTTCATGAGGTTGTGTATTCAGGAAATTTTTTTAAGGCATGCATTTATTGAATACTCAATCATAAAGGCCATTATTTTTATTCATCAGCAAACTAAAGGAACTAAAATTTAACTGAATTTTTAAATTTAATAATTAATTAGTTTTAATTACAAACTTAGAAAATTAAACAAATACTGAATTTTTCAAAACATTAGATTGTGCCTATGGTAGCTCCTTTCAGTGTGAAATGAATGTTAAAAACACATCTTGTACTGATTGTAAACTCCAAGGTTAAAGGGATTGTCTCCATATATTACTCTTTGTAGAGTGCTTAGCATAGTGCCAAATGCCATTAAGCAGTTAAAAAATATTTGGTGATGATAAAGCCTGGTTAAATGATGGAAGAATTATGTAAGAATTAAGCCTTAGAGTTGAATGAAACTTAAACTTCATCTCTGTCTGTTGCTCTTGCTACCTTGATAAAGCTTCCTACAACCCTGCTGGACCAATTGCAATTATTTATCATTCTCTCTTTGAAGATAGAGAAGTGAGTATAGAGAATTGAATTATTTTTTAGACTTTTAAATTCAATGTCAAAGATCTGTTCAGGAATATGAGTTAGATGGTCTTTGACTAATTTTTCATCTTCTGCTGTGGTTGACCCCCTTTGTTTTCTCATCAGTACTTAGGTACTGGCTTAAACTGTAGAGTAGCCCTTTTACACCATGAAGCTTTTATTACTTATTATAAAGAATTATTTTACTGTTTGTAAGATTTCTAATTGATGGCATAGTAAATCATATTTAATTATAGAATAGTGATATTTATTTCATGAGCTGTACATGAAAATTCTTGATCTTTTCAGTAAGTAGCAAACTCCTCTAACATACTAGATGTGGTTTACTCCACACCATGTTCCACATCCATCCACCCTGGACATGGCACACATTGCCATTTGCCCTGCTGCCATACATACCTTCTTTACTCTTCCTTTCTTTCTACTGCTTGTTCCAGGAACAATAATCTAATCAATACTGCTAAAAAAGGTCATAACAATTACCTGCCCTATGACTCCACTCACCATTCTTGTGACCCTCCAGACAAAAACTCCCTTAACTTGGCACTGTTTCCCTATTTGTTTTATCTCTTCAAATTGGAATGTATACTCCTTCTGGCCAAGGACTGTATTTTTTATATTTGTATCGTTAGAACATACCACAGAATTTATCATACAGTTATCATTTAATAAATGCTTTTTTTTCATTTACTCACTCACAGTCATGGCAGTAATCTTCACATGCAATGTGTTTTCTGAGATGATTCCCAAAAGTACAATTCTGAATCTCTGTCTTTCTCTTCAGTATTCCCAATGAAATCTGCAATAACTGGCTTTTGGGAGGCCTCATATTGAGATTGGGGTATTGTATTAATAGGTGGAAAACTGGGAAAGAGAAAAACTTAGTAGTAAATATCATAAACATTCAGTAGAAGTCTTAGAGGTTGCATTGCCCAAAACCAAAATTCAGAATGTAGAGCCCTTTTCAAATGAACAAATCTTTCTTTAGTATTTTGAGAATGATAGGCAGGTATTGAAGAAATAAACATAGGTCTGAAAAACATATACACTGTATGATTTAAATCTCAACAAAACCTATGCTAAATCTCCTTACTTTCCCTGGGGATTCTTTATGATATACTTATTCCATTTAAACTCAATGGAAAACATACTTCCAAAGAGGAAGTGTTTAAACTGTAAGTTCATATGAAGCTGTAAAAATGATTGTGGTGATTTCTGCACAAAAACAAAGCTGATGGAAGACCTAGAAATAATTGTTATTCTTTCTTTTTGTTTACATTTTTTTTTCACGCTGCCACACTGCAGATAAGCGAATTCAACTTGTCAGTACCATGTAATATATTTACTGAATCTCTGGGCACCAACTTCTTAATGTGGTCCATTCTTGTACTTTTAAAAAATACACATAATATTGGTTATAAAATTACACTTACAGATAATTGCCTGTCCCTAGTATCTTTGAACAAAAGAGTAGGTTATGAATTGCATAATAGTGACATAATTTGACATTCTCTTAGCTCATAGAACATATGGTCCATACTGCTTATTTGGCACTTAATCATATATTCTTTTGTATGTTGTTTAACTTTTATATGTAAAGATGTCATTTCTTCAATTAGGTCATAAATCCTTGAGGACAGGGAATTAATCCTATGCCTGGCTTTGCACATAATAGGTTCTTAATAAATTTGTTAAATGAATATTTTTAATATCTTCTAAGGACACCAAGAAAGAGAGTACTTTCCAAGAATCTATAACTAAATATATGATATATTGCATTTATGTAGATCTCACTTGCTAAGCATTGTCATATACAGAATGTCACAAAAAATCTTACTGCAATTTTAAGCCTTAACCACTTAATATGTAGGGTGTCCCAAAAATCTTCATGCAGTTTTAAACTTAAATAGCTATTAGCTCTTGAAACTGTGCAAAGACTTTTGGGACACTCTGTATATAAGTCCAATTTTTTTTTATTAAATTAGATATATGTGTTGATATGATATGCATATGGATTGGCCAGGCACCAATCCCAAAGCACCTATTATTTCTCAGTTGCATTGATGTCCCAGTGATTGGGCCAAAGATATAAGGCAGTATACTTGACTACAAAAATCTCCTCTGCAGAAGTCTAGAGAGTCGCATCCAAGCTTTATTTTTAAAAGCTTAACCTAAAAGACCTTTCATCGTAGATATTTGTGATTTCCTTTATCAATGGTGGAGTGAAGAGCTTGAGGGATTAAGAATCTTGAATCCTTGAGGTCTGAGTATTTTAAGCATGAGCTGAGCAGACTACTATCTCTGTGTCTGCTGATTTCACTCTTGTAAAGGGGAACATCAAAGGAGAAATGACAGCTCAGAATGAAGAGTGTTGTGGAAAACCAAGGATTGCCATTTTTACTGCCATTTTTACATTTCTCCTCCAGTGTACACAAATATCCACCAACTGTGGGAATTTTATACATAGGCTTGTGTAATGTGTTACATGTGTGTTTGTTTTGTTGTTTTCTTTTATCTTTCATACCACGCTTTCCAACATCAGTCCTGACAGTCATGTATTAGAGGTGGAGAGAGGCAAAAGGAGAGATATGGAATAGGTGACTAAACGGCAGGCAATGCGAGTTGAAACATTTGTTGGCTGGGATTGTAGTCTGGGGTGGAGAAGCTCTCCCTAGGCACAGAGAATGTCATCTCTACACTATGCACAGTTCCCACAAATAGAAACCTTAGTCCATCAAATAAAATGTTTTTTAATTACAGTAAAACTTTGTTAAATGCCATCATTTTCCCTCTACTGCTGGTTACTGAGGTACAATGCACTCCTTAAGACCAATTTCAAGTAAGAGTACATTTTTTCCTTGCTTAGAAATATACTGGGCTTTTTGGTGAATGGAAAACCAGCCCTTTTCCTCTCCTATTACATGGAAGCGGCAAACCTGTGCAAAGGAAAATGGAAATGTTGTGTAGCATTTTGAGCTTTACTAACAAGACTGGTCTAGTTGAGCCAAGAGCCTTTGAGTCATGGGCTTGTCTAGAAGCCACAATGGACATCTGCTGTGGTGGGAGTGTCTACACTGGACCGAAGAAACATTATAGATGTTATCTTTTTAATCTTCAAACATCCTTGTAGTGAGTCACTGAGGTAGAAAGCTAGTAAGTATTTTTATAGGTGGAAGAACTAAATAATGAATGTATCAAAGAAAGGAAGTTGATGTTTGAGAATAAAGCCTACACTCCTAGATTCTATTTTAGGACAGCCTACATTAGACCATGAAACAAAATGAATAAGCTGCTCAGTCAGTATTGTAAAGCTTAAATAATTTTGAATTTTATCAATTTAAAATGGCGTAAAGAGTCTATATAAAAAAATAGAGGCCATGAGGTTTTTATTCTCTTTTAAAAATGAACAGGCAGTTGTAATGTAATGAATAGGGAGTTGCTTTTGAAGTCTGAAGACCCGAGTTCAAGTCCTGCCTCAAACACATGCTGGATTTGTCACCCTTGGCTAATCCCTTCTCGTCTCAGTGCTGTAGACAAATTAAAACTATAAGTTTCAGAGATGTTGTGTCAACCTAGATTGGTGGATGGAGCTTCCTCACCTGAGAGTTTCTTAAACCAATAAAATCATAGTTCCAGTTCCTATCCCTTTAAATATATAAACCAGATTTCCTACTCACAAATGAATCTGGCCACCTCGGTTGCAATTTATTTACTACATTGTTACTTTCCTTATTCAAGATCATTTTGGAATTTTCCTTTATAATTCCTTCATAACCCCATAAAACATTCTTTTGTAACATCTTCAATGGTGGGATATTATTTTAAATTATTTGATTTTTGAAAATAGCAAAAAGCCACTTGCCACCAAGTTTGGTGGCTATGGTAAGTGACTCAATTGACTAAAACCATATTTGGCAAAAAAAATTGTAATGAAGTTTATTAATGAAGTAAGGCTACTGATTTCCTTATGTACATCATAATGCTGGGGGAGTTTGATGCTGTGGGGCAGGGATTTAGAGAGCCACACAAACAGATGTCACCATTATCATGAAAAAGTTGTCTCTAAAACTCTCACTAAAAAAGAACAACCTTATAGGGCGGTCATAGATTACAATTCTGGAGTTTACTTAGAAGCACTAGGAAATAAGCAGATTGTCGGTATATATTGAAAGGTAGTAGATGTAGAGACCTGTCTTGGTGTGGAGCATAGTGGGAGTGACAGTAGTCATAATTAACTGTGCTATTACCTCCATTTGGCTTGGAATGCCAAGAAGAAGCAGGTGAGTTGGGATAGTGTGGTAGTTACTACAACTCAACATTGCTTTGGGTCTCTGCCTCTGTTATCATC